ATTAAATTTGACACGGATCTCTAGAAAAATCAAGTCTCATACTCATGTGATAATTTTTCTAGATATCTGTGCTAAATTTAATGGTGATCCTTTGGGGTTCTACACACATGGGTGTGGGAAAGTCTCATAGGATTATTACTCTATTTATAATATTAAAATTAATAATTATACATTGATAACCAAATCTTGTATTTTATTTGTTAACTAAATTATATAATGTAGTATTTCTTGTTATATAGTTGCAAATATTTTTTAAATTATATAGTTGCAAATATTTTCTAAATTATATAGTTGCAAATATTTTTTAAAAATTAGATGATATTATAAGAAAAATTTGAAATTTGCTCTTATTTGTATGATAAATTATTTTTATTACTATATATAACTAATAATTACACAGATATCCAAACTAGGAAATAGTATCTCAATATTCACATATTTTTGCAAATAATGAAACTCCATAATGTGTCACTCCTAATTTCTTTTAGATCTAAAAGAAAATTATTTTTAATATTTATAATGACTTTTTGAAAAAAATTGAGACAAAACTTGCCGATTCGGCTGATTCTTCGATACGCCGATCCACCGACCCAACACGGGTATGGGTGAGCACGATTCGAGTCACCGATCTGCTTTATAAACCTTGAGCCTAAATAAAATACAGAATTACTCCCTACCACTTAATCTTAACTCAAAGACACAACACCAAAATAAAACAAATTCCCCTAAAATGAAATAAGTAAACAAAATGTTAGCGTGCCTGAAACGTATTTCAACCTACAATCATACAGTGCCTGAAACATGGAGATGGTGCTGATTCATGGAAAAGCTTGAACCAGGAAAATCGACTAAGCTTACTCTTATGCAAAAGCTTGAACCAGGAAAATTGATCATTGTCAAACTGTGAAAACAGGGTTGAGCACTAATATATTCGTATCCCTTAAACGCGTGGGATCATAGAGAGGACGAGGAGATCTTTCCAAGTCGAAATGCCAATCAACCAAATCGAAGCGACAAAAGAAGAGAAAGGTGCAAGGAATCAAGTCAAAGTTTATATAGGAACGGAGACTTTTCTTGTGATGAAAGGCAAGACGAGAGAAACGTTGAGTGAGCTTTATAGGCCAGATCAAACCAAAGCCGTCAAACCCCATTTTTAGGCTCGCAAGTGAGTTTCAAGTAGCTCACCCGAATTGAACCGCCCTCACACTTGTGCTTCGAGCTCTTTCTTCCAAAAAGAGAACTTGAAAGTAAAGCAAATAAAACAATTTTTTAAAAACCTCTTTCTAATCAAAGCATGATTGAATGAAGGATTTCAACGAAACTTGGTTGAAAGACGTGTTGGGCCTCTTATAGGGCAGTTAACTCTCTTTAAACACGTGGGTTCATATGTGTTCAAGCACTACTACTCTGGTTTTTCCTTACAAGGTGCTTCATGTAATGCATGGTTAGATGTGTATTGTTTGATGGACATGTATGTCTAAAAGGGTGCTTGCTTTCAATAAGTATCTGATTATCCCTTTAATTCTTTTCTTACCTTTGAAAGTGTCTCCATTTGTTTGTTTGGCTTGAACTTTGGAACTCCTCTTTGTATGTGGACTTTGGTGCAGTGTTTATCCCACAGAGGAGAGGGGGGTGGGGGAATAGAAGTCAAGTACACATAAAATGTGTGCTATAAGTTAAAAATCAATGAAGTCTATTTTTGTCAACCAAATATTCAAAATATTATTATCTAATAAAAATCTGAAATATGAATAGAAAGTCCACTGGCGCAAAAAAACAAACATCTAAATAATATATAATCCAGATATATGGAAACCCACAATGCCTTTTCTCAAAATTTCAAACATCTGGATGTTAAAATTCTATTTTGTTGAACATACCATTAAACAATGCAATAATACACGTCCTTGGGTAGTTAAGTCTGATGAACCGAATATCAAACAGGTTCGATACTCCCAATACTAGATTGACCCACTATCTGTGGTTAATGCAGACGACAGAAATATCGGACCGGCCTAATTTTCCTATTACATGATCCAAGCTGTTGAACCTCAGACCGCCTATGCTCCTCATTTATTTAAGAGAACAGCCGTTCTAAGATTGCAAACATCGAATAGTGTAATCAGATTGCCAAAAAGATAGCATAATGCGGTTTGAGCTGTTGAACCTCAAACTGTTGGTTCTCCCTATTGATCTAGTAGGACATGCAATCCGAGGTTTGCAATCTCAAACCCAGTGGTGAGGTTCGAGAAATGATAACAGAATGCGCCGTGAGTTTCGAGAAAAGATAACAGTATGCATCTGAACAATTGAATCCCAGATCATATAGATCATATGTATGGGAGAACATGTGGTTCAAGGTTTGGACTCGCTATCCGATGGTGAGGTTTGAGAATAGATAACAAAATGCATCTAAACTATTGAATCACGGACTGCCTGTTCTCCCTATATGTGAATGGGAGAACAAGCAGACATTACACCTCACCTCAGATCGCTTGTTCTCTTTGTGTGTATGGGAGAACAGGCGGACTGAAGTTACACCGGTGGTGAAGTTGGAAAACCCAAAATTTATACTTGGGGAAAGACCCAAAATTTATGCTCAGGGTTGAGAAATTTGGTACTTTTTTTAATTAATTTTAAAGTCTCATAATGTGAATTAAAAAATTTAATAATTTAAAACCAATAAATAAATGTCAAATACAAAATAATTTAGAGCCAATAAATAGTTGAACAATGAACGAGCGGGATTCATCAGGATTCATCAGAGGTGCTCTAGAGCCTAGAAAAGGCGAGAAATCACGAATTTCGAATATTGACCCACGTCCCCAATGTATCTAGAATTTTCTGCTAGATTTCAGGATCAGGGTTTAAAGATTTTAAAAAAAATAATTCAAAAAAAATACCTAAATTCCAATGGCACTCGGAGTGAAGAAAAAAGACAATTGTATTTAAGCAAAGGACATGCGTTCTATGAGTCCGTGTAGAAATGAGCCTCCTCTTAAAAAGATAGATTTTTTAATTTATTTTTTATGAACATGCAATCTCTCAACTTAGAGATCATGTATATCAAAAAATAAATATTTAAAATAACAATTCTATTAAAAAACATTTGAACCGTGAGTTGATGAGACCACCTATTTGCATCCATTTGTAAAATCATCTTTAAAATGGATGCTTTCTACCTCAAAGACAGCAAATGTAAAAATGTGGTGCCCCACCGCATGAAACAATTTTCTTTTAACAAAAGCAACTAACAATGTTTTTAAAAAAAAATTAAAAAATTACCAGCCCAATGTAAATATAGCATAAGGATTGTATACCATGAGGCCATTTATTTTTTATAAAAGAAGTCACAACTTTTCTTAACCATTGGATGTAAAATCTAACATATGAAAATATCTCACAACTTTCAAGAAAAATGTATCGAATTTTGAGCTCAAGTAATGACACATAACCATCCATCTGAATACACCTCCAATTGTTGACAATAATTGTAATCTTCTTGTATTAAAAGTAAGTTCTCATTGTATACATTTTCTAAAGCATAAGCATCATTTTCTCTTTAAATTGAACGAGTCCATAAATTCCATACTTAACACGAATTTCAAATATTGATCCACATCCCAAATTTATCTAGAATTTTCAACTAGATTTCAGGACCAGGGTTTAAAGATTTTAAAAAAATAATTCAAAAAAATACTTAGATTCCAATGGCACTCAGAGTGAGGAAAAAAACAATTGTCTTTAAATTTTCTACGGGTCCGTGTAGAAATGAACCCCTCTTAAAAAGATAGATTTTTTAATTTAATTTTTATGAACATGTAATCTCTTAACATATAGATTATGTATATGAAAAAATAAAAACTAAAAGTAACAATTCTATTAAAAATAACATTTGGACCGTGTTTAACATAGAGATTATGTATATGAAAAAATAAAAAGTAAAAGTAACAATTCCATTAAAAATAACATTTGGATGATGAAACCCACTTATTTGCATCCATCTTTAAAATCACCTTTAAAATAGATACTTTATACCACAGCAAAAGATGCTTTACCTAAAAGACCGCAAATGTAGAAATGTTATGCCCCGCCTGAGGATGCTTTACCTCAAAAGACCGCAAATGTAGAAATGTAGTGCCCGCCTCAGGAAACAATTTTCCTTGAACAAAAGCAAAAAATGTGGTGCCCCAGCACAAAGTGTGGTACCCCGCCTCTTGAAACAATTGTTTAAAGGGCAAAAACGCCTCATGAAACAATTGTTTAAAGGGCAAAAAATGCAGTTTGCATACGGATGCATCCGTAATGGCAAGATGCGCCTTTAAATTGCATCCGTAGTAGTAAGATGCGCCTTTAAATTTTATCATGGTATATAATTTGTAAAGTATTTTTAAACTATTTCAAAATTTATTTTTATATTTAATGATAAAATTTTAAATTTCAAAATTGATTAAAATCAAATAGATCTATAAACATATGAAATCTATTAAAACCACTTTTTTTTTTCAATGGATTTTTGAAAGACATCCGTAGTTCTACGTTATAAAGTAACATCGTTGTATAAACTTTTTTCTTAAAAAAAAAACTTGCATGTTAAAAAACAGTACCAGCCCAATGTAAAAATAGCCTAAGATACAATAAGACTATTTATTTTTTATTAAAAAAAGTCACGATTTTTTGTATCCATTGAATGTGAAATTTAATATATTAAAATGTATCACAGCTTTCGATAAAATTTGTGTCGGATTTTGTACTCAAGTAATGACATATCACCATCCATCCGATTACACATCGGATTATTAATATGATTATTGATTATGATTGTAACATTCTTGTATTAAAAGTAAATAGTCTCATCAAATAAGTATCATTCTCTCCTAAAATTCTCTCCTAAAATTGAACCAGTCCATAAATTCCATACTTAAACATGGTACGAACAAAATTTTCCGAAAAACAATTCACCAGTCTCGAGAAGTGGGTCATTAGCCCAAGGAAGTATGTCTAAATCGTGTAGGTTGCATGTGCCCACTTATTCTTAAGTAAACCATTGTTCAACAACTCGTTATCTTAGACATGAAAGCATCTAAATCACAACAAAATGCAAACACCATGATGCAACAGTCAAAAGCATGGAAAACACAACCCTCAACCCTCCATGAGATGACTCTGAGAAGGAGAATATGAAAATTAGATCTTAATACTACATATCACCCTCCCTTCTTTAATCTCCCTTCTTTTGCTCGTCGGCGGCAGCGGCGGAGCGCTTGTCCTCGACAGTCTTGGAATACACTTCATCCCTCTCATTGAAATATCTCTCAAAGGCTCTTGGCAAGAACCTTGGAATAAGAAAACAGAAGAGACTGACAGAGAAATAAACAAAATTCGCCATGGCCAAGATCTTCCCAAACCAATACCAAACCACATCCTGCCACACAAATGAGCAGATATCCCCACATTAGCCGAGCCGAGCAGTGCGACATCGGATTAGGTGATGGTGAAAGTGCATAGCAAAAATATCTCCATTTTGCTCTCTTATGTTATTTGAAGCAATCTTTATTCTTTGCTATTCAAAATTATGTTCCTTTATTTCAAGCATCTGTTCAGTCCAATCTTTCAATTCGTTGTCTTCTCTTCTTTTGGTTGGGGTCCATTTTTCTTTCTTTCTTTTTTTTTTTTCGTCTCTCTGTTGAGAGATTAACTACTTTTCCGAGGGGTTTATTTATTACCTTCTGATGATCTTTTTTCCATAAATGACAAGGACCAACCCCCTATCCTTTTTCCATAAATGACGAGGACCAACCCCTACCAAGTTACAATGCCGGACCGTGGGAATTTATAGAAAAAAGATCATCAAATGGTAATAAACCTCCCAGAAAAGTGTCTAAATCGCTCCTCTGTTCTGTGCAATTTTCCATTTAGAGGGAACGATTACATCTTATACACAACCATGAATGAATCTTATAGACAAGGGATAAAAACAGGAATATTAGAGAGAGGGTCCACAGAAAAGGACTACTTATGTCCTAGAGAAATGTATGAAATATGCCATTGGATGACCATAATCCTAAAAGGATTAGTGACCTAAGACAAACTCCAGCCTACTGGTATTTTCTCCAACTATCTCATTAACCAATCCCAAATAGTGATGATGATCTATTGGCTTTGCTTGTCATCATTCATCAAGTTCTCCCATCATGGTGAATGAAAAACATGCAATTAGATGCTATGCACAATCTGCATTAAGGAGATTACTACCATTTTTGTCTTAGAAAAAGACACTTGATAACACACTTCTTTTGATTAGCAGTAGGATAGAATATCTTCATCTTCAACCCTCTCACTCCATCCTATAGTCCAGTGTGTTGGGACTTGCTAAGTAAACTCGGCCGAGTCCTGTACAAGGCCAGGAGGCCCTAAAGAACCTAAAATAGGAAATATTGTGAAAAATATTAAAAATTAAAAAATGGAAAATAATATTAAAAATTGAAAAATTTCTAGTAAAAGTAAAATAAAACCTAAAACAAACTTAGAAAGTTAAAACAAGCTTGAAAAAGTAGAGAAAAAAGGCTTAGAAAAACGGCTTAAAAAACTGATTTATAGTGTAGGATATTAAAATAAAATAAAAAAAAAGCTTTCTATGCTCCCCTACGACATATAAGTTCTATCCTCCCCCTGATTTATAGTATAGGATATTTACAAAAAAGGGAAAGCTTTCTATGTTCCCTATAATATAGAAGTTCTATCCTCCCCCTACCATCGAGCCATCCATTTTTTATGGAGAGAGCCATTCACCGTTTGATCTTAGATCCGACGTCTCAAAATATTTTATTTTTAGTTTTTATAATACAATTTATCTCAATATAAAATTTGGTACGTACCATCTTCTCATTGGAGTGCACCTATAAAAAAATATATATATATTAACAATAATTTTTTGATAAAAAATAGTGGCCAAATTACCCCTTGAAACTTTCAAAGGTATTTTAACCATGTTATTTTATTAAAAATATATTTTTATATTTTTCGTTAGCGCGAGTTGTTAGAGGGGGATCATGGAAAACTTTCCCTTTAAAAAAAAAATCAAAAAATAAAAATATAAAAATGGTGAAATGGCATAAAACATTCACCAATATTTTTCAAATCCAACTAAATAATATAAAATTCACCAATCTTTTCCAAATCCAACCAAATCATATAAAATAGTTTATATAACATTTCCACATTTTTTTCACAGGTTCCGAGTTGTACAAACAACTCGGTATTACCGGGAGGCAAGGCCGAGTAACTCTGCCGAGCCGCCCCCCCCCCCCAACACCCTTATAGTCCAAAATTACTTTCAAAGATAAGGAACACTCACTATATATCACCCATTTCTTTAAGTAGATAATTCATATACGACCATTGAAACTCAAGAATGAATGGCCATTTAAATCGTTAATTGTAGTATTGATAGATAATGCACCACGGATTTTAGACTAGGGTGGATGCATATGGCACATCAGAAGGTCTGGTACAGGGCCCTGCACTGCAATGGCCTCGAACAAATGAGAGTGATGCGACCAGCACTAACCTTGAGAGGAGCATTAGCAGGCAAAGTCTTGTTGAACCAGACATCGTAGATCCAATAGATGATGACAAAGATCCTCCTCACCGTGTAGAGGAGCGGCACGAGGGCCCTGATCGGGGGCGAGAAGAGGGAGAAGCCACTGATGATATTCTCAGTGAGGATCTGGAAAGAGAGGAGGAAGAGGTGGGGAGTGGCAGAGCGCACTGCATGATCATCACCCCTTGCAAATCCCCCGAGCACGTACGCCAGGGGCAAGAAGAGCCCCACGGTGGTGCCGAGAACCACATACAACTGAAACATGCGGCTTCCATTGAATACCTCCGGGGATGAGCTGCGGCCCGCATAGTTGGGGAAGGCCCAGCGGGAGAGGGCCACCAGATAAACCGAAACAAAGGCCGGATAAGCCAGGTCCACAAAGGGAACAAGCCCACTGACTGAGAAGACCATAATGAAGGCCACCAGCTGGAGTTCTATCACGCGCAGAGATCCCATAACACCACCAACCACAGGCTGCTGTTGCCTCTGTTTCGCAGCGGGATCAGGAGCTTCCGGACGTCCGGAGTCGGTCCTCGGTGCCACTGCAAGGGATAGGCCAGACATCTTGGTTGTGTACAAGAGCAACAACAGCGGCAAATCGTTTTCCAAAGACGGAACGACAAAGAATAGTGGTGGAGATGAGAAACAGATTAACAGTCAAAAGAAGAAAAACAGAGAAGATTCGAACGGGTTCTGGGTTTGTTGAGAGAGAAAAGGATTCACATATTTCTTCAATTGCTGATTATGAGCAAGAGGTCATTCACACAGATATCTGTTTTCTTCCACCAAAGTTTTAGAGAGAGAAAGAGAGGGACTGGAATGCAGGTTACAGAGAGAATAAGAAATAATTGAGAGAATGGGGTGTTGAGTTGGTTGAGGAGGAGAGGGGAGGGTGATTTGCATGGAACAAGCAAGTGTGCGCATTGCTGGGCCACACGTGGCCCACCAACCAGTTTATGTTGCTACGTGGGAGCAGATACCAGCATGTACATCCGGTCGACTTCAATGCACAATGTACGGGTACGCGTGCAATCTAGTGTGTTTTTTTGGAAATTCTTCCGAGCATGAATATCTTGAAAGAATGGCAAATTATAAAGGAGTAATGGTCTTATGCGATCTTTCTGGAGTTTATGTGCGTAGGATATTACCATCAAAGTTTACATGGACTTTTATAAAAAACAAAAAAAAAAAGTTATATAGAAGTGTAGGATTGGGTTTTTTTATAGATCCATATCAAATAATTTTATAAGATTTTTTTTTCAACTATGTAGATAAGATTCCAACGATCATCATTACATTTATAATTTTATAAGACCCTCTTTTCACTTTTATATATATATATATATATATATATAGTAATTAAAGTATCACTATTAATTATGTATTTAGTAGACTCTCGTCTTATATATAGGTA